AAATGATTCTTCTATTTTTAAATTATTATTCTCTCTCTCTCTCTCTCTCTCTATATATATATATATATATATAAACATATTTAGTATTATGTATATAATATATAATATTAGTGATTAATATTAATGTGTTGGTAAATTATTGAAATATTGAAATATTAACAATATCAGGGGGTACTTCAAGTAAATATTTTACATATAAGGGTTTTGAATGAAAAAGATTTTGGTAACCCTCGCTGTAGAGCATCATAGAGGCTCGGAGTTCAGTGGCACTATTGCCACTGGGACTTTGGCATTAAATCAAGTCGATTTTGTTTTTTACTCTGGCCACTTAGACAGGAATGTCATCCAACCATCATTTTCTGAATTTCACTATTTGACTGTTTTTCCAGATTTCTTGAGATGATGGAGTCACGCAAAGCTTACGGCTCACCGGCACCCTCTAATGGCCAGAGCCCGTCCTCGGGCTCCCAGTCCCCTGTGGTGCTGCCCGGTGCTGCCTCTCCCAGTAACTCCAGCCCCAGTACCCCACAGGCCCCTGTCCCGCTCCAGACCCAATCCGCCCCTCCACCACCTCCATCTATACCACACCCTCCCGCACAGATCACAGCCGACCATGTACCCCAGACACCATCACAAACCCTGGAGCCTTCGCCTGCAGCACCGGTGCCCGCACCTGCCCAACCCGCACCTCCTCCTGCCCAGAAACGAGGCTTCATCTCACGCCTGTTCGGATCGTCTGCTGCAGAGACGTCACCGGACAAACCAGGTCAGCATAGAACAGTGTTATTATAGAATCATTGATATAGTATTATAGTTTTTATTAATACAGGGTTTTTGCAGGTCTATAAAAAGGTCTTTAAAAGCCTTAATTCACCCCTCCACAAATTAAGGTCTTAAATTGAAACCAAAAATCTTAAATTCATAAAGTGATGTTGCTTGCACTGCAAAAGAAAAAAAAAAAATCTTCCTCAGTTTTTCTGTTTTGTTTTCCAATATAAATATCTAAACATCCTTAAATCAAGATACATTTACTCGAAAAGCAAATTGAAGAAATTAAATCTTGTTTTCTGAGAAATTAAACAAAATTAAGTAGTTTATGCTTGAAACAAGAACAAATATCTGCCAGTGGGATATGAAAACTTTTTTTCCCTTTGAATTGAGGTGTTTTTTTCCGAACCCACTGGCAGATATTTGTTCGTTTTAATCATAAACTTACTTCATTTTTTTTTCTCAGAAAACAAAACTTATTTTCTGTCATGTTGTTTCTCAAGTAAACTTAAGAATCTTAAGAATTTTTTTTTTTGTAAAATGAATTAGAAAGTAATGGAGATCTGTTGGAGGTTGTATTTTAAAACTTTGAAGCGTTGCTAATTCGAGACATTTACATTTAGAGACCATACGGATGTATCGTGTTCCATTAAATTTATTCCTTAAATTTCTTTACTTAGTCTTAAAAAGGTCTTAAAAAGTCTTAAAATTACCTTCATAAAATGCAGAAAGCCTGTAATATTTTGACTTGATTTTTATTTTTATATTTTCTGTTTTCATTTTAATTGTATTTAAAGTAATAAGTAATTGTTGTTTTTGTTTTTTTAATGTGTATAAAGTTTTTATTACTTTTTATTTTAGTTTTTATTTTAGTTATTTTAGTGCTTCAAGTTAAAGTAAATGAAAATGAGAAATGATGCCTTGGAAACTAGTTGAAATAAAATAAGCTTAAGTTTTTCATTTATTTTATTTCGGTTTATTTTTATTTTATTTCAAGTAATAAATATGCTTTATGGTTTTAGTTTTAATTAACAATAACAAACAAACAAACAAAAAAATAACAAACACAAAGTGTCTGTGTGTGTGTGTGTGTGTGTACACATGTTTTTCTATCCCGGTGGGGACTTAAACCTGAATACACACTGACTCATGGGGACTCGTGTCACCGTGGGGGCCTAAATCCCCATGGGGAAACAAGCTTATAAATCATACAGAATGAGTTTTTTTGAGAATGTAAAAATGCATTTTTTTTTTCTGTGAGGGGTAGGTTTAGTGTAAGGGGATAGAATATACAGTTTGTACAGTAGAAGAGCCATTACATCTATGAAGAGTCCCCAAAAGGATAGTAAACCAGACGTGTGTGTGTGTGTGTGTACATTTGATAATGTGACTATATGAACTGTAGTAAAGAGGGGCTGCTGTCCAGAGACTACATTCAATGCCTTATATACTGAATACCAATGAGACATTATTAGGCAACACTGGAGCCGCCGCTGCACAGTCATTAACGGAGACCGGTGGACTGACAAACACAAGCGCAGCTCTGCACCAGTGCATTTGCTGCTGCTGCATTGCAGATCCTGGGGGATGGGGCCGAGCAGAAGCACACTAATGCACTTCCTGTCAACACATATATACAGAAAGTGTGTCAAATGGCTATCATCATGTTGTATTAGGTTTTATATTCAAAAATCATATGCAAATATTTTGGTTTCTTCATTTTGTTTGGTTTCATAAAAGTTCCCTTGTGTTCTGGGGAATGCTGGATCCAATTTGCCAAATGTCTAAACTGGAATTAAAGATGCCACAATATCATAAATAATCATTATTCATTCATTTAGCATCACAGATGGCCCATGTTTTATCAATTTCTATTTGGTTTTATTTGGATTTTAGCACAAGAAGTATAGATATATTCATATATTAATTTCCATACTACATTTAATATGTTTTGGTGAAATTTTAGCACCAAAACTGGATATTTAACTTTTTTGTGAGTTTATAGTATTATTGAAAATTATTACCTGTACTGAATGTTGTATTGCTGAATGTTTTATTTATATA